GACTATTTTAATTCATAATTAGAAAGGAGAATTTTATTGAGCACTTCTTTAAGCACAAGCTAGAATTGGCACTTAGGATGGTATAAAAAGGTGATATTTGCCCTCCATATATGAAGACATAAAAAGATTATATAAATCATGACACTTGATATCCATGGACGTCTAAAAAGCTAAGTACCAGTAGACTGGTAGGAAAGCATTCTTACTGCATGAATCGCTGCGCCAGGCTTTGGGGCAGGCTGTTTATTCATTCATTCAACCACATGTATGAACCATCTCCTACCTTCCAAGCACTGTTCTAAGTGTTAAAGGAACATGTTGAACAGATATAAAGGTCTTTGCTATCATGGGGCTTACATCCTAGTAGGACATACATAAGAAATAAGGAAATAGATGTAATGTCAGTAAGTGACAAGTATTATAAAAGTCATAAAGTAGGGTAATAGAATAGAGACTGAAGTGGAGAGGTGCACTGTTTCATATAGATTTATCAGAAAATACCTCTCTGGAAAGAGAGTACTTCAATGAAGAATTGAATTGTATGAAGCAGTATGCTTTGCAGAGAAATAAATGGAAAGAGTCCTTACAGAGGTGATGGTAGGTATGAAAGCACAGGTGGAGACTGGATTGGCAAATCCTAAGAACAGCGGAAGTCCAGCAATGACTGGAAAGCAGTAAGCCAGGGGAGAAAGGTAGAGAGAAGTCCAGCGAGGAGAGTGGGGAACAGTGCTGTGTGAGAACCATGTGGGCCATTGTGAATGTAACAAGCCCACTGAAGGGTCTAGCTAGAGCTGCAGTGTAATCAGATTCAGGCTTTAAGATATCACTGGATTTGTGAGAAATTGATTAGACAGAGAAAAGAGGGAAGCCAAGGCTAAACTGCTATAACAAATAACCAAAATTTATTTTTCACTTGCATTAACAGTTTAGGAAGGATGTTTTGAATCAGTGGGAAGCTCTTTGCACTGATTCAGAGAACCAGGCTCCTTCCATTTGAATGACTTCATGATCCCCTAGGACCTTGTCGTGTGCAATGTCAAGACTAAGTTATCACATTCGGATTTCAGGCAGACAAAAGGGAAAGAGCACAGAGAAGAAGCACACATTCTTCTAGAGACCTTGGCCCAGAAGTGGCGCTCACCATGTCTGTTCACACTCTCTGGGTGGTAGAGCACTTGCCTAGGAAGCACAGGCCCTGGACAGTACACCAACATCAAGAAAAAACTCTCTGGGTGAGAACTTGGTCACATAGCCACACATAATTGCAAGAAACCTGGGAAATATCCTGTCATTTTGATGTCTACCACAGGAGTAAGCACACGAAAGATAAATGTGGCTTGGACAAGGATGGAAGCAATGGGGGTGGTGAGGAGTGATTGTATTTTAGAGTATATTTTGGTGGTAGAATCAACAGGATTTACAGATGTAGGAATGAGACAAATAGAGAAGCCAGAATGAATCTTAAGACGTTTGCAGAAATGGCGTCATTTACACAGATGAAGAAGTCTTACGGAAGATAGATTTCTGCTTTAGCCATGTTAAATTAGCCAACTAAAGGGAGGTATTGAGAAGAAAGATATTCAAAATTTCAGTTCAAAGGAAAGGTCAAGGGTGAGGTAAATTTGGAATCTTTTTTGGGTAGTATTTGAAGCCATAGGACTAGATGAGCTCTCTAGGGACTGATTATATCTGAAAAAAATGAAGCTGAGGACTGAATATTGGGGTACTTTACAGTTTTCAACTTTGAAGAGGAGGTGAAAAAGCAAAGGAGGCAGAAAAAGAGTGGGCAGTGAAGAGCAAAACAGGAAAGTGAGGAATCTTGGTGAAGACAGTGTTTCAAAAAGGAAGAAGTGATCATGAGTGTCAGATGCTGTCAGAAAGGTTAAGTAGCAGGAGGACTGGGAGTTGACCATTGAATTTTAAAAGATTAAAATCCTTGGCAACCTCAGAAAGAGTAGTTTTAGTGGAATGGTAATTTCAAGAATATTTTAGGGCTGGTGGAGTGGCTCAAGCTGTAGGAGTGCCTGCCTAGCAAGAGTGAAGCCCTGAGTTCAAACCCCAGTGTCACCAAAAAAAAAAAAAGAGAAAGAAAAAGATTATTTTAAGAGGTTTGCTACAAGGGCAACAAAGAACAAAGCAGTAGCTCTGGGATAACCTGGAGACATTTGTTTAGGTGGGAGAAATGGCAATGTATTGTATGTGATGGGAATGATTCAGTAGGAGACAGAAAAATTGATGATGTGAGAGCAAAGCCCTTGAACAGACCAAAGGGGATGGGATCATAAGTGGAGGGCTGGGTCTGAGGTCGGAGCAGGGATTGTGCATCTGCTGTAAAAATGGGGCAGCAGCATAGTGGGAAGAGACAGGTGAGTTGAAAGATTTGGTGATAAGATATGAAAGTTCTCTCCCACTCATCACTGAGTAGGAGAATAAATTGGCTAAGCATAACTGAGAAGAAAGCTCAAGTGTGGAAACAGGTGTACATGATAGTCTTGGGCCATGGAACCTGTATTAGCCAGCTTGCCATTGCTCTAACAATGCCTGAGAAAGCCACCTTATAAAGAGGAAAGATTTATTTTGGCCTACAGATTTGGAAGTTTTAGCCCATGATCAATTAATCCTCTTGCTTTTGGATCTGGGTCAAGCCAGCACATATGGCTGAAGTGTACAGTGGAGTAGACCTGTTCACCTCATGGCTGGGACACAAAAGAGAGAAAGAGGAGGGGTCCAGGGTCCATAGTCCCCTGCAAGAGCATGCCTCCACAAGACAAAAAGACCTTCGGCTAGACTCTACCCACTAAAGGCTCTACCACCTCCCAAACATGCCATCCCAGGGGGCAAGGCCTTACCACATGGACTTTTGGGGGACACTTAAAGTTTAAGCTATAGCAGAACTTGAGCTATGTAAGGGTAGTGAAAAGAGGAGGTGGGTGGCAGAAAACACACATTCTAGGGTCCCTCTAAGGGCCATGAATAGTTAGAGGGACGACAGAGCAAATGAGTTTTTCAAAAAAGTTTCATTTTTTTGTTTTTTTAAGGAGGTGATAGGCTGAGAGTAGATTGCTAAAAATCATAATTTAGGAAGTGTAAGGTTACTGGTAATGACACCTTGCAAGTGTGGCTTAAGGAAGTTGATAGTTGAGGTGAGTGAAAGAAAGATTGTTAGAGTGACTATTTCAAGGAACCAAGAGAACAGGGCATTAAAGGGTTGTTTATGTAGAAGTCACCAAGAATGATGATAGGGTAGTGACAGAGAGAAAGACGGCAAGTCAGGGGCTGAAACTGTTACCAAGAGAAAGAGGAGTAACTAGGAGGTTGGTAAAGGACTGTAGTGGTAAAGGGCAATATGTTAGACTTTCTGTCACTATGACAAATACCTGAGAAAAAGAACTTAAAGGGAGGAATTCTTTATTTTGGCTCATGAGGTTTCAGCCCGTAGTTCTTAGCTCCATTTGCTGTGGGCCTATGGTGATGTAGAACATCATGGTGGCAGATGTTCTCTGCCATGTGGCAGAGGCTACTCACCTTATGCTGGACAGTAAGCAGATCGAGAGAAAGAGAGGAAGGGGCAGGAGACATGATCCATCCTTCAAAGGCATGCCCCCAGTGACCTACTCCTTCTTACTAGTCCCCACTTCAGAATTGAAGGTCCCTTCAAATTATGAGTTCACCAATGGATTAATCCATTCATGAAGTCAGAGCCTGCACAATCCAGTCTCTTTCCCCTAAGCCCATCAGCTGGCAAATAAATCCCCAATAACCTTAGTCTTTGGGGGCCATTTCATATTCAAACCATAACGGGCAGGGTATGAAATAGCATGATGGCTTATGTTTCAGAATGGCTAGGTCAGAAAGTCACAGTGACCAGAGACGACAGAAAACTTGGACTAGGAATACATAGTGAGTACTGGGTGCGTGCCAATCTCTGGACTCAAGACTGATGTGGGTCCTGTCCCCATTAAGTATATAATCCAATGGGCATAGAAACACATAAATTAATATACAGCTACAAATAACGGTAAGTTCTATGAGGGAAAAGAAATGGGTCATAAGGAAATAGTATCAGTACGAGAGCATACATTTAGATTTTTGGGGTGGGACCATTTTCGTGATGCAGTGATATGGAGCTAAAACCTGAGAGATGAGTGGGAGTTAGGCACGTAAAAGCCTACAGGATCCCAGCTGGATTCCAGGGACCAACCCATCAGAAGCAGCTGAGGTGGGGAAGAAGACTAGTGCGTGAGATAAGATTGAGATACAGGATTGAGTAGCGAGGAAAAGGCTGGGCAGAGGAAATGGCATATTTGAGGCAGTTTGACCTAAGCAGGAAATTGATCCTGGAGAACAGAGAGTTAAGGAGCTGTCAACCATATTTCTTGAGCAACAAACTATGAAAGTTTAGTGTTGAAATGATGTATAAACATGCAGCAAAGTTAATCCAATATACCATTTGTTTGAATCACCACTGTGATATTCATGGCAATTAGACTATAACAATCTATATGCATTTCATGGTTAAATGGAGCAGGTCTGGAATCAGAGGTAAACTGAGAAGGCAGAGATAAAAAAAGACATTCTGATGTGTCTGAAATCCATGGAGGATGAGGTGGGCACATATATGTGTTTATGGCCAAACCTTTTTTTCCTCTCAGCCCTCTCAACCGCCAAGGGAGGAATTAAAATAGCAATTCTCCCTCCTTCTGTCTGCTTCATCAGCTTCTGGTCTATACTTGAGACCAGGCTAACCTGAGCTGACTTTCAGTGTTAGATGGTAGCAAAAACTATCCTGCAGGAGACAAAAGCCAACCTGGCCCATCAGTTCCAGTGTCATTCCTTGGGTCAAGAACACAAGATGTCCAATTCCTCCATTCTCCCCCTTTCATCTGAAAAAGAGGGGAGATCTGATCTCCCAGTTCCCACAGATGACAAATGTGGACAGATGTGTGGTGGGTTTTAGAGAAGTTTCCATCTCTACTTTGCCCTCCCCCTTCCCTTTCTTTTCAGATCCTTGACTGAAAGGAGGTCATAAACCTTTCTTCCTTCTATGAGAGCAAGTGCTAAGAGTTGTCATTTGGCAAAATTACAAAGTTGAGGGAAAGGAGTTCATAGGTATATGCTCACAAAAGCAGAAGAGGGTTTGGTAGTAAATTTGTAGCTGCAGATTTGACTAATTTATTTTTAAGATTTTTTCCGGAAGTCCAGACTCCAGGAACAAGAGTTCCAGAGAAGATCAACTTCTTTCTACACACACATGTGCAACCCCTGGGTCTCCCTGTTAGGGGTGAGTAACTTCATCTTGACCTTAGTTGTCTTTGAGAAATAATTCAGGTATAGGTAAGTGTGATTTGGGGAGGAAGAGGGCTTAATTAGGAGCAATGTGATTAAATTTCCTGCTGTATTAGAATTTAGATGAAACTACATATGGTAAGATTTACGTTTAATGAACCACTTATTATAATCAGTTATTTACTGCTTGAATAATTGCAGCTGATAAGCCCTGGATTACTAAATTTCATGCTAATTTTTTGCTTCTAGGGTAGAATCAGATGAGGACCTAGGATAGACTATATTGATGGTTTTGATTAAAGTGTTACTTCCAGAAGGTGCCTTCACAAATGCCTGCTTAAGTGAGGCTTTTGAATTATAATTGAACTTCAGTTATTCAGACTTTACTAGAGATAAGAAGTTGATGCAAGAGACTTTCCTAAGGTCCTACCTTGTGGTTTGCTTCCTCTGTGGAAAACCATTAGGTGACTTGCCTTCCCGATGCTGTTTCCACAGGCCGTTGGGTCCCTTCTCATTATGTTGGCCATCCAGTGGGTCTATACCCTGGTTAACATGGGTATTGCTACCATCGTGTATTTCTACATTGGCCGGGCCAGCCCAGGGCTTCACCTCGGTAAGTCGCTCAGCTATTTTGCTACTGCTTCCTTTCTCTGTAGCTTTCGTTGAAAAAAATATGCTTCAAACACCTAGTAAATGCCAACCCTAACTCAGGTGTGAATCCCATTTCAAGCATCTGATACTCTGGGAAGAGAACTATAACATATACATAAATGACCATAAAGGAAAAATGCTAGCAATTTGCTATGAAGTTTATACACTTAGAAGTAAAATGGATAACAACATTAGCACAAGGCCAGGAGGGATAAGATACATTGTTGAAATGAAGTGGTGTACTGATGAAGTGTACTGTAATAATTGTCTTATACTGTGTGTGAAAAATTACAGTATCACTTGAGAGTAGATAAAGGTGTTTAAGATGTATATACTACAGAGCTAGCAAAGTGGCTCAAGTGGTAGAGCACCTGCCTAGCAAGTGTGAGGCCCTGAGTTCAAACCTCAGTGCTGCCAAAAAATAAAAAAGAGTAAAGATGTTTTTTAAAAAATGTATATACTATAAACCACTAAACAACACAATGAAGATGTAGCTAATAAACCAATAAAGGAGATAAAGCTGAATGAAAAAAAAACCAAAATCAAAAAAGACAGGAAAAGAGTAAAAAGATAATAATGGATATTTGGCACAAGCAGACAACAAATAGAGACAGAGCATGGTGGCTCATGTTTATAATCCCAGCACTTAGGGAGGCTGAGGCAGAAGGATAATGAGATGAGGCTAACTTGGGCTAAATAGTGAGTTTGAGGCTAGTCTATGCTACATAGTAAGACCTCAAAAACATCAAAGTATCAAAAATATAGATTTATGCACTTAAAAATATAGATTTATGCACTTAAAAACAGAACAAAAGAAAGAAAGAAAATTAAACATTTAAGAAAGTTAGACTAAGCACAGTGGCTCATACCTGCAATCCCAGCTACTCAGAAGGTGGAGATCAGAAGAACTGTGGTTAGAAGCCAGCCCAGGCAAAAATTTAGCAAGACTCCATCTCTACCAATAAGTTGGATGTGGTGGTACACATCTGTGGTCCCAGCTATTCAGCAGGCATAGGTAGGAGAATTGCAGACTGGGCTGGTCTGGGGCAAAAGCCTAAGACCCTATCCAAAACATAAGTAAAAGCAAACAGGGCTAGAGGCGTGGCTTGAGTGGTAGAGCTCCTTCCTAACAAGCATGAGGCCTGAGTTCAAACCCTGGTACCACAAAACCAACCCAGACCAAAACAAAACAAAAACCCAGAGCTTTGAAATGCATGACCCCAAAACTGTTAGAACTGCAAGAAGAAATAGAGAAGTTCAAAATCACAGACAGAGACTTCAACAGCTCTCTTCCAATAATTGATACAAGTGGCATAAAATTAGGAGGGTTATGGGAAACTTGAAGAGCACTGTCAAAGGCCCACCTAACTGATGCTTACAGAACACTCTCCCCATCAGAATGTATACTCTTCTCAAGGTTATAGGGAACATTTGCATATTAGACCATATTCTGAAACAAAAAATGTTTTAGTAAGTTCAAAAGTATTCAAGTCAATTGAAGAATAAAATAGTTCTCTGACCAAAGGGGGAAAAATTAGAACTATAACAGAAAGATCATATAGAAAATAAGGAACACTAAAGAACCAAAAACACTAAATAAAATACAGAAACTGAATAACTCATGGTTCAAAGAAGAAAACAGGAGTGAAATCACAATTATTTTGAACCGAATGAAAATGACAGTACAACATATCACAATTGTGGGATAGCTAACCCAGTGCATAGGGAGATTCATAGCATCAAATGCATACATTATCAAGAACCAGAAAAAGAAGAGCAAGTTAAATTCAACGAAGAAAAAGGGAAACAAGGAAGATCAGAGTAGAAATCAATAAAACTTAAAAACAAAAAGAATACAAATGAAACAAAAAATTGATTGTGTTAGAAGATCAATAAAATTGATAAGCTTCTAGTCAGATTGGTCATTCTAAAATAAGAAAAGGCACAAATTACCAATACCAGGAATGAAAGAGATGACATACTAGAGGCTTTACATATATTAAAGGGAAAATAAAAGAATATTATTATAGCTTTATACCAACAAATTTGACAACTTAGATTAATTGGACAAATTCCTTGAAAGATACAAACTTCCAACATCCAAAGCCCACTAAAGAAAAAATAAATACGGCTAGCAGAGTGGCTCAAATGTTAGAGTGCCTGCCTAGCAAGCTTGAGGCCCTGAGTACTGAAAAAAAAAAAAAGAAGGAGGATGAGGAGGAGGAGAAATAAATATAGAACTATTCTGGTCACTAGGTAAAGAAATTAAATTGGTCATTAGAAACCTTCCCATAAAGAAAACTCTAGATTTGTAGACATACACATATAGACCAAATATATTTTAATTGACATAGTGATTTATATCAATGATTACTTCTGAACTTTTTTTTAAAAGTCTGATCTTAAAAAATTTAAATATTTCCCAGAAATCTAATCACAGAAAGAATAAAAGCAAATTTCAGGCCAATGTCCATCTAAAATTTAGGTAATTTAGAATCTAAGTAGGATCAGTAATTGAAATGTTTACATTTTATTTTCTAACTTCAGACAGAAGATGTACTGATTCTCTAAACATATTAGTAATCTTTTTGCAATTACAGATACTAATGCAGATTTGTGATGTATGCTCCCTTTACCCATAAGAACCATAAAAGATATTGAATAGACATGTTATCAGCTGCATACCATGGATATTAGCCAAGATTCTAACATAAGCCTCTTTAAATAGGACTAATTTCCCAATCATATATTGAACATGATCCAATCAATTTGTCTTTCTATTCAAATCACTGTGTCTGATATCAGGACAATTGGGACAATATGATCAATAACCTCACTTCAGACTTCAGCCCTAACATTTCTAAAGGTTGATTCATTTAATACCTTTTGAAAACTTCTTAAGTACCAAATCCTATTAGGGGTACAAGGATGAAAAAAGACATGTTCCCACTCTCAGAGTGTGTGATCTACTTCAGGGATTTTCATAGTACATGTTCCATACACATCAGCGTGAATCTAAGCGTAAATATCAAAAGAATTTGAATTCCTATAATGGAAGTTCACAAGTCCCCTGCTCTTTTCTTTATAGCACTTTTTTGGAATTTTTAGGGTTTAGAAATAAGTTTTTGGAAATCACACATGGGTACAAAGTTCTTTTTTGGAATTTTTAGGGTTTAGAAATAAGTTTTTCTTTTTTGGAATTTTTAGGGTTTAGAAATAAGTTTTTGGAAATCACACATGGGTACAAAGTTCTTGGTAGACGCTTATCATGAAATAACACAACAAATATTGTTTGGTGAGACTGAAAAAGGAAATATTTGTGCTTATTCTCTCGGTGCATGCGTATGTGTGCATGCTTGTGTGTTGGGGATACAATTTACCTTGCTAAAACTGGGATTCTAAATCCTTATGTAGGCCCTTCATAAATATTTATGTCTGTGTCCTCCCTGCAGGATCAGCCTCCAATTTTAGCTTTTTCCGATGGATGAAGTCTCTTCTGATCCCCTCCTACAGGTCTGTGCTAATTCAGTGCTGGTATAAGGATGGATCAGTGTCCCAGACTCCTGGGAGGTGCTGAGGAGCTCCCATTTCTGGCTAGGCTTGGGCCTGAACTGTGGTGTGGGAAGCTGACAAGGGAAAACCTCCAGGAAGCTCACCTTTGCTCCTCATTGGTTAGCTCATCAGAAGTTTCGTCTGGCTTATGTCTTCTTCCCTTCTTGTCTGTGGTTATCATGAGCAGAGGCTTTGTCTAGAATTTGTTTGCTCAGGAGATAAATCAAGAGAGCTTCTCTCAGTGAGTTCACAGTCTAAGACACATTAACATCAGTGCCTAATCATATTCAAGATTAAAGCCCAAGGAAATGTGAAACTGGAACTCTTTCTCTTCCATCTCAAGTCAGAGGTAGTTGGCATCACTGTGTTGGCAAGAATGCAGAGGCCACATAAGGAACTAAAGAAGAGGTCCTGGAGGACTGCTGCAGGACCTCCATGTTCTGACACAAGGAAAGAGGAGTCCTCCAGAGAGGGCAATGTTCATGTGGCCTGAATCCCTTTCCTTCTCCACCCTTTTAGTGCCATTGCTTCCTTGCCTCTTAAGTCCTCAAGATTCTGAGGAATTAATCATTCGGTTACCTTTCAGCATCAGTGAGGAGCCAAAGCTGTAGGCTGGGCAAATCCAGGCATATTCTAACCAGGGTTTATTTGGCTTCATGTTGTCAGTTTGTATCTGAAACTCTAGATGTCTGGTTTGCATTTGCCAGTATTTCCACCTTCCATGTCTGGACAGTGCTAATGAGTTACGGACCCTTTCCCATTGATCTTAGATGGAAGTTTAGAGTCCTTTTTCCCCTTCATGTTTTTTATTGTGGAAAAAATACACATAACATATAATTTACCATCTTCACCATTTCAAGTGTACATTCAGTGGAATGAAGTACAATCACGTTGTCATATAAGCATCCTCCCCACCCAGTTCCACATCGTCCCAAACTGAGACAATAGCTCCCCAAGCCCTAAAATCCTTTAAAGACAGCTGTGTGTGAGCACTGCCCATCTGTTCCAGCTGGCACAGGAAATGAAAGCTTGTTACTTAGGGTGATGAGGAAAAATAAGAGGCTGAAGAAACCAACAGGGAGGGGATAGAGAGCTGTGAGTCCAGGAATGGGGAGTGTGGTGTGTGAGGAGAGCTCCCTGCTTCAGCTGGCTGGCTTCATGTCCTCCTACAGGAAGGGTGTGGTGGCCCCTCTGCCTCTCATCCTATCTAAGGCACAAAGCTGGGTGACTCAGGTCACAATGCACCCACCCTGACCTCTTTTCCCCTGCAATCTAGTCCTCAGGGAAAGTAGAGTTTAAGTGGAAATAGATTGTGTAGAGGTTGCCTACAAATTCTTGAGCTTCAAGTGGTATATGGGTAATATTTGGCATATTTTGATTTATAAGAACATATTTAGTCACTTTCAGTTTAAGTACCTAAAAATGGCCATGGGAGGTCACCACTCCATTAGCTGTTCCTGAATTCACCTCAAAGCTCACTGCAGTGCTATGCAGAAAGAAGAATGAATGAGGAAGAGAATATTCCCAGGAAGGGACAGTCCTTTGGTTGGAACATAACTCAGTCCATGTAATTCATAGCATAGTCAGGCTCTGGATTAGTGAAGTGGTATGGGGCCTCACCAGAGCCAGCATCAAGCTTGCTAACCTTACAATGGCTCTGGGGCAGTATTTTGTGGTGATTCAGGAAGGGGAGAGGACCAGGAAATGGTGACTCATTTAAAAATAGAAATTAGTAGCTGTGTTTTCTGTTTTATAGTTTTGAGTTTTTCCCCCAACTGTAGCCCCAACTGTCTTTCAAAACGAAACCAGGATAATAAAGTAGTAAAGTATGTTTGAGCAGAATTTGACTGTGTTACATCCTCTGTTACACCCACAACTCCTATTAGTATGTGAAGTTAACCATGACCTTGAGAAGGCTTTCTTCCCTGAAGCCCTAGAAACTGTCCAGAGCCTCCTTTTGAAGCCACTGTAGAAAGTGAAAATACTGTATATCATTTCTCTAAATTCAGAAGGACATACAGTTTCACCTATTTTTTTTAAAGCTAGATATTGTGGTACACACCTATAATCCTCGTACTTTGAAGCCTAAGGCAGGAAGATTGCCAGTTTGGGACCAGTCAAACCCCCACAAAAAAAAGACAATAGCAAAAACAAAAAAAAGCATTGGCATTTTGGTTACTTAACTTTTTGAAAATTCAACCCTTATGGAAGTTAATTCTGTTCTCAGAAACTTTAAACCTAAGTGATTTAGGTATGTTTTCAGCAAATGGCTGTATTCCTTAGTCATGTGATCTAGCTTCAGTAGCCAGACATCTTTGAGAGAATCACTTGAAATTTTTCTTTCTTCCTTTTTTCTTTTTTTTTTTTTGGTGGTGCTGGGGATTGAACTCAGGGCCTCACACTTGCTATGCATGTGCTCTACCTCTTGAGCCACTACTCTAGCCCCAAGTTGTTCTGCTTAAGAAACTTCTAACCTTGAAGATTTATGAATTAGATCTACCTTTTAAAATGCTCAAACATTCCTAATGTGAACAATTAGACCTTACCAGGAGTAAAGAAGCTGATTCTTTTAAAGGAAAGGTATTCAGAGGAAATGTATGCCTCAAAGAGACTTAAGGACCTGACATAGGCTATGTACATGGAAGGGGCCTGGAAAGGTAAGAAAAGAGACACACACAGAGGTAGGGTCTTCTCCAGGCCTCTAAGGTGATTAGGGATGGAGTTGGGACCACGTCTTCCTGCTTTGGCTACCGGTCTTGGCTTTCCCTGCTCCCTCCCGCCTCTAGCACTTTCCTCACGTATCCCTAATCTTTACCAGTGTGATCCAACCATGTATGCAGAGACAATGGAATCTATATTGGGACTTGCTCTTCATCTCGAGGCCACTTTGGGGTCAAAAGTGTCTGCACTTTGCCTCTTAGCTGCTTGCTAAGTGAACCTTAGCTCTCTGGAAACCATTCCTCCTCATTCAACTTGCTTTCTAATGAATCAAAGAGGTTTCTCTTTCCATTCTTCTTAATTTCCAGCTTCTCTATTCTGTTATTTCATTGTACTTAAAAGTTATAGAGCCCCCAAATGACACCATTTAAAAGGCAAAAACTCTCTTTGCGGGCATCTCCTGTCAGGTGGGTACAGTTTATACTTTTCTACTTAAGAAGGGTAAATATCACTCTCATTTCTTACTTGATACTCTTACTCTACTCTGAGTTCACAATCTGTTATTCAGATAGTTCTCAACAATTACATGCTAAGCATTTCAATGCATGCCAAACATTAGCACAACGGGCATTTGTACAAAGTGTCTCTATCCAGAGTAGGCTGGCCTCCACCGATCGTCTTCACACTCACTCACTCTTTCCTTTTCACTGTCCTGTGTCCCATTGAAGGAGTCTGCAGTCCCCCCGGGAACAGATCATTTTGGCACCATCCCTGGCCAGGGTTGATATGGCGATGACTCAGCTCACCCAAGAGAATGCCGACTTTGCCACTCGGAATCGTTACCACCACTCCTCCTTCATGAGTCGGGAGCAGCTGATGCCTCTGTATTAGAAGCCATGCAGGGTCCCTCCTTCCCAGGAGCTGCCCTAGCACAGTGGACTCAAATTGCAGAATCTCTGGGAGCTGCTTCTACCCAATAAGAAACTCCAAGGCATGTCCTCCCATTGCTGCTTTGGACAACAGAAATCTTTCTTCTGATCTGCAGCACTACATTTAACCCAGGGAAGCACTAGGAATGGCAGTGACCTCTGCAACATGGCCCCTTGCCTGAAGAGCTCCCCCTGGGACAACAGGACTTTCAGGTGATGCCAAGACAATCAAGTGTAGAAAACCAGATCCAGATTGCTAGTTCCAAGCACCACAATAAATGCTTATTTTTAATTTTATTCTATTATTTGTGTATTTGAATATATAATATACTCATATAGTTCCAAGCCCAAAAGTATAATTATATTTACAGTGAAAAGCTTCCCTCCCATCCTCGTTTCCCATCTGCTCAGTGTCCTTCTTCCCCCCGTGCAGAGGTAATCACTACTCTCATACATATGTCAAGCGCTTCTTTACAAATATACTAGCTAATAGAAATGTGGATTCCTGTCACTCCCTTTTTAAACACAAAGGTAGCATACTAAGCACACATTGTGTCAGTACTTACACAGTTTCCTCATTATTTTTCATTGTATGAATGTGCCATATCTATTTCACCATTTCCACAATGATGGACATTTTCATTCTTTCTGGTCTTTGGCTATGACAGTCAGCTCTTCAATGAATGACCTTGTACATGTGTACAACCATGAAGTGCATCTCTGGGAGAATTTCCCAAAAGTACATGCATTTGTAACCTATTACTGCTTGGTGAAGGTCTTTATAATTAAAAACTTAAGTTGTATGAATTGCCTAATGGTGACACGTTCTCAAAATTTTCACAGTCCCTGACTTCCTGAACATCTCTGCAGCTGTTTTGTGGCATGAATAGCATGAAGGGACAGGAATCTTGCTCCTTTGTGATCTCTGCCTGGCATCCAGCACTGGGGGCTGGGCAACATCTTCTCTGTAAAATTCAGTTCCTGGCCCAGGTTTCCTCTCTGAGCCACGGAAGGACAGACAGATGGGTCACTTCTGACTCTTTCTTCTATTGCAGGTCTTCTCATGGGTGGTGCTAGCATCATCCAGGATGTATGTTCAAAGAGCAGGTGTCTCTACCTCACCCCTACACCTTTTTGGAGGGGATGCTGTTTTCTCACTCCCTCCCTTGTTATAACTGAACCTAACTGGGGCTGACTGGGGGCCACTGGAGATTCAGAAAAGACACAGGGTAGACAGACAGAAAGTGGGGTCAGGTGTGTTGAATGCTCTGGTGGAAATGCACAACCCTCATTGCTTTTCTTCTCTATCTTGATTCTTTATGATCTTACTCCTTGCAGCTCTTTAAAACCTTGCTTCTAAATTCTTCTTTAAAACCTTGCTTAAAACCTCTTTCCTTAGACTCCTTCTGTCCCATGTTTTCTCTTAGCTGTTCCTTAGCTTAATCACTCTCAAAGTCTTTTGCCCCCAGGCTTGCACTGTCCCCATCTTTCTTTAGCTTTCTTTTAGCCTCAGTGTGCAGACTTGCAAACAACAGCCATGACTAAAAACTGCATATGCATAACGCTAAAGTCTCCTCTATCCTGCACTATAAAGTTCTTTCTTTGGCTTTTCTTTAGCTTAGCTTTTCTAAGACCTATGTATATAGTTCTTTCTTTGGCTTAGCTTTTCTAAGGCCTATGTTAAAGTTCTCGATGCAGACTTTCTATCAACCCCTCTTTAGCTATTCTTTTCCCTTCAGCAATTCCCTTTAGCAATTCCTTTCCCCTCCCAAAGTTTCCCATATCAAAAAGCCCAAAGCAAAAACCTAAGCCAAAAAGCCCCAAAAAACCTCATGTCCTCCTTCAGCGGGCCTTTTATAAACAGCAGCAAACAGAGTGGAGCAGAGGCTCTCAGAGAGGGGCATGACATTGTCACAGGAGAAAACTGCGTTCCTGCTTCTCTGAATGCAAACTTAGGAGATGCAGCTGTTCTGCTTTTTTCTGTTTGTAGCCGGGGCTGTGCCTGTCTCAGCCTATAGGTAAAAGCAGTTAAGCTGCATCTCACCTTGCTTACGTCCAGTTCTCATAGGTTTTTCATAATCCATTCTCCACACCTTTTAAAGTTCGGGGTGGACATGTGACCTTTACATCTTCACCAAGTGCCACGTGTGATTCAATGCCAGCTGTCCTTGGACGACATCTTGAAAAATGCTGATGGATGGAAGGACTTGGAATGGGTAAGATCGTGATAAGGAGTCAGCTAGAGCTTAACCTTCTCTTCTGGAAAACAAGATCTCATTTATGAGGTTGGAGGCCTGGCTGCAGCTGTAGAGTACTTGCTAACAAGTGAAAGACCCTGAGTTCAAACCCAGTACTGCCAAAAAAGCCCCAAAAAAACCCAGGCCATTATGAATATTATTCACAAATCTATCTCTGATTAATTAGCAGATTTCTGGGCATTGTTAAATACACTTTAAAGAATGCAAGCTTTGAGTTGGCAATAGGCAGGTGGGAAATAAAAACACTACAAGAAGGCAGACTGAGTTAGACATTGTGGCTCACACCTGTAATCCTAACTCTCAAGAGGCTGAGACAGGAGAATCATGATTTGAGGCCAGCCTACCCTGCCTGGACAACAGGGATTCCCTGTCTTAAAAAATAACAAACAAGGCAGATTGTACTAGGCTGAGGGCAGTGATTTCTGAGGGTCCTTTTTTCCCCCCTGGCAGTACTGGGGTTTGAACTCAGAGCCTCATGCTAGCAAGCTCACTACCACTTGAGCCACACTCCCAGTCCTTATTGTTTTTGCATCAGGGTCTCTGAAGGTAGCCCAGGCTTGCTTTGAACTCTCAACATTTCTGCCTCAGTTTCCTGATCTCAGGGCACTTTTAAAGAAGCTGTACTAGTTTCCTGTGGCTGTGTAACAAGATACAGAGATGACGTGCCATAAAAACAACAGTTTATTTAAATCTCTCACAGCTCTGGAGTCCAGAAGTCTGCATTCAGTCTCACTGAGTAGAAATGAAGGTGTCAGCAGGACATATTTCTTTCAGGGACTCTAGGGGAGTCCATTCCTCACCTCTTCCACCTTCTGGTGGCTGCCAGCATTTCTGGATTTGTGGCACATCACTTCAGTCTTCAAGGCCAACATCTTCAAATCTCTCTCTGCTGCACTGTCACATCACCCTCTCTTCTGGGCGTGTGAAGTCCGCCTCAGTCTCTGGCTTATATAAGGTTACATGTGATTGCACTAGAGGCCCATCCACATAATCCAGGCCAGTCCCCATCTCGAAAGACTTAATTTAATTACACCTGCAAAGGCAATGCAAAATGAGAAAACATTGACAGAGTCCTGGGTATCTTTAGAACCATTTTCAGCCCAGCACAGAAGCCTTTCCTGTATCTGCTTTTACTTTTTTGAATTCTGCACAAGTTAAAAATGTAATCCTTCTGGGAAAGATGGTACTGAGTCAACACTAGCAGAATTCAAAAAAGATGGTACCAAGGCTGAAAATGGTACACAGCAGAAGATTCAAGAAGAGTGCCTGCTCAACACGATTAATCTAATGGAAAAGAATAAGAAAGGAATAATTCAAACCTTGTGCTCAGTATTGGGGATACAAAAATGAATAACTCACAGTATAGTGGGGTGGGGGCAGGATGAACCCCTCATGAGGTCCAAGAATCTTGTGTTTAGTCCCAAATGTACTGTCAATCAGGCTTTATCAGGTGTTTACAAGCTTCCCCTTAGTGAGGCATATCCAGGGAAGCAGGAGTGAGAAAAGAGAGGATCGAGGCAGGAAGAGAGCTCCCAACCACTTAGGAGGATCACATGCAGTCCAGTGCTTACTCTCAAATGACTCTCCTGAGAAATGGTAGGGACACCTGTCTCAAGACTCCCTTCCAAAGGTTGGAATGGGTCAGAATTTATCTCCCGATTCCTTTTTCTTATAACCATGTTAGCTCTGAATGGGTATTGTCTGCCCCATGCTTGTGATTTGCACATGTGTGAGTGCTTAGCAGTTCTGTATCAAGCAGAAAGTGGCTGGACCCTCTCAAAATGGATTGTCACAGTGGTGGCTGAGATGGAACAAGTGGCCTCAGCCCCAGAAACAGGTGGGACAGGACCTGAAATGGCACATTAAGATGTATCATATATAACCTGTATATTCACAAAGGTCAGTAGTAAATGCAAGTCATCAGAAAGACAAAACATGCATGCTACTGAATCATTCAGAAGGGTTTATGAATCTAAATGGTACAAAATTTCAGTCCAGCCAATATATATGGGCAGTGAGACCAGCAACACTTCCTAATGCAGTTAGAACAGGGGCAGATTCCTGGCGTAAAAGGTTTCCCAAGAAGTACACAGCTATAGGTCATAATGTCTGAATGAATGAGAGTTGTATCAGACTTTCTGTGGTCATCAATGCCTCCCTACCAGCCAAGCCAATCTACTGATTAATCCATCCACTTACCTACCCACTTACCCATTGATCCACCCACTCACCCATTGAATGGATCCATTCATCTGCCCATCTGTCATTCCATCCATCCATCCATCTATCCATAGCTAAAGCAATGTACACACAACCTCATACACAGGTGCCTGAAACACCTCATCAGATCCAGGTGCATCTCCCCAATCCCAGAGCTTTAGTGTGTAAACACATTATCATAGGCCGTTCAGGTATAAATCAACTCCCCAGCCACCACGGTCAGACTTTCTGGGTGAGTACTGCCCAATCCCAGATCATTCTTTATTTTTTTTTTTAATGATACTGGGGTTTGAACTCAGGGCCTCATGCTTGCTAGGAAAGCACTATGCCACTCCACCAGCCCTCTGTGTGTTGGTTATTTTTGAGATAGGGTTTCACTTTATGCCCAGGCTGGCCTGGACTGCAATCTTCTTATCTGTGCTTCTCTGCATGGCTGGGATGATGGGTACACACCACTGCACCCAGCCATTGGTTGAGATGGAGTCTCGAGAACTTTTTACCTGGGCTGGCCTTGAACTGCAATCCTTACAATCTCTGCCACCCACATAGCTAGGATTACAGGTTGAACCACTGCAGCTAGTCTCGAGATCACTCTTGAACTCAAGGCTGGGAACCAGA